GAAGGATTTCTTTGGAGAAGAATGCATGTTCTAAATTAAACTGTTAGGTAATTTTAGTAGATTAAAAAAGAATTGTGAAAATAAAAATAAAACATTGCAGAAAATTCCTACGTGGTTCTGATGAGATTTGTATGGGCATCGTGAGGAACATGACAGATGAATTTTAAGAAGAATTCCAAGAGAATTATGATCGGAATTCAACAAGAAACAGAGTTCTTAAAATATTCTGGCAATAATTTCAACCCTAGTGCGAATGATTCATCACATAACCCAAACAAAATTGATTCCAAAAAATTTGCTGATAATTAGAAAGAAATTCTTTAAAATACTCCAAGGGGTTTATTAATTAATTTTCGAAAGATTTCTTTTGTTTTGAATAGAGTTAAAAGGAATGTTTGAAAAGATTTTTAAAGGAATCAAAGTCTCCGGATAGGCGGGAACGGGAATTATATGAAGGATTCCAATAAATTCTTAGACGGGGTTGGAAGAAAATTCCTAAAAGAATTCAACGGTAATTATCACGCGGAGTGTTTTCTGGTTTATTTCAGAACAATTTCAAGATAATTCAGAGCAGAATTCCAAGTTAATTCTGGAATTCATCATGAGAATTTTGAACAACGAAAAATTAAAACCCCGGAAAAGAATAATTCAGTTTCGGTTTTTACAAATATTTGTTTCCAAACTCCAGCATCTTCAATATTTTCTTTAGAGGACCATGCACTTTACATCTGAAATTGAAACGACAAAAATCAATTTGCAATATTGCTGAGTGATTAAATTCTAAAAACAATAAGACGGTATACTGAAGAAAATTATGCAACAAATAGAGCACGACATTCATTTGCTAAAGGATCACTCTGTTTTAATGGTTTATTCTGAAATTCTGATGTAAAAATTTGTTCCTATGATATGGTTAATTTATTTTCCCGGTTCTCTTGAAGAATTCACGGGTTTTTCCCGGTTTTCCCGGTTACTTTCCAAATTCCCGGATTTCCCGGTTTGCTGGCCACCCTGAATCAATCAAAATCACTTGCACCCCTGCTTCCAAGTTTGTGTGGTCGTTGGGGGCGTGTGGTTCTGAATATGGACAAACAAGCACAGATAAATTCTATTCCAACTCTTTACTGATGTAAGCTTGATGGCCCTGAAAAGGGCCGTTTTATTGAAGAGGACATCCATGGCCACTTACGCTTGGCGTGTTTCTGTAGGTGACAGCATCACGGACCTCATTTTCCACGAACACCTTCAGCACACCTCGTAGATCAGACCGGAGATACGTCAGACACTGCGACGGCGAGCCAGACGACGGATGGTGGTTATCTCGAAGAATTTGCGATGACGATTGGCACCTCTTTTGCCACGACCAGCCACGAACTACTGCTGCTATTGCTGACCACGCCGACAGCAGTGCTGCTTTATATCTTTTTAGGTTAAAGCAGAATGATGTGCAACCAAGTGGTATAAAAGCTACAAAGACTCCTCCCATTATGAGTAGTTTGCTATCAAGTAGCGACACTGGCTATTTTCTTTTTGCGTACACGGCGAATGAGAACGACCCAAATTTGAGTTTAGTTCCCTCATAATCGCCAAAAATGTAGGAACTCAGCGATGAGTAAATTTGTCTCATGATTTCCTGTGGAAAACCTAAAAAATCTGCCAGAAAATGAGGAAATTGACGAAAATTTTATTCAGTCCTGGAGTAGTACCAATAGACTGAGTGAATCCAATCTTTCCTTTTCTCAAATTCGGGAATTTTTCCCTGGAAAATCCTGGAAAAACCTGGGAAAACATGAGGAATATTTACTCATCGCTGAGTTCCTGCACTTATTTCTGAGATAACTAAACTCAAATTTGGGTCGTTCTCATTCGCCGTGATAGATATCGGCGCCGGTGGTTAGCGTAATTACCTCTCACCCCAGCAGGCCTGGGTCCAATCTCAGTCGGCGCCATCGGCATGTTCTAAGGCATAACATATCTGGGAGCTGCCTCCCTGGCGTCGGTAGCATTGGAGCTCAGTACGGAAAACAAATCTTGCGTCACTTTTCAATATGTCCTATTTACATTGATCGATTCTCTTCATCGACACTCTCTTTCGTAAATAACTCGGCTTCACAAATCTGGATCAACAATAGAAAAGAGCCCATCAGCATTTGTAAACAAACCGTTCCAAAGCCCTTTACTCACAAAGCGAAGGCCACCCATACAAACCAACACCATCATCGGATAGGGGAAACTTCTACCTACAAGATGTTGGTGTTGGTTTGTGTGAGCGGCCTTCGATTTGTGAGGCTTTGGAACGGTTTGTTTACAAATGCTGATGGGCCCTATTCTATTGTTGATCCAGAAATGTTTCCTGCCGTCTTCGTCGAATTAGATGCTAGATTGTTGCTTCTTCCATCGAAAATATCCGGCCGTGGCGATTCAAAGTTGATCAAGGTTGATCAAAACAATTTGTATCTCTGCTTCCAGTTTGATCACATGAGCATTTTGTGTGGTCGGTGGTTCTGTAATAAGCTTGGTGGCCCTGAAAAGAGCCGTTTTGTTTCCAATGTTGGTGATGATTTAACCTCCGAAACCAAACAGAGTGCGTCTCTGTCACTTCAAAAACGTAGATGACATCCATGGCCGCTTACGCTTGGCGTGTTTAGTGTAGGTGACAGCATCACAAATCTCATTTTTTAGGAACACCTTCAGCACACCTCGTAAATCAAACCGGAGATACGTCAGACACCGCCACGGCGAGCCAGACGACCGATGGCGGTTATCTCGAAGAATTTGCGTTTGGTTCTGAACATGGCGATGAGTGTGTAAAATATTACGCAATTCCATCCTCCCTATTCGCACGCGCCCGAGGATCGGAGGCGAATGCCACTTCGACTTGTTTCGTCTACTTACTACTCTCTGACGACTGTGCTGGGGAAGCAGCATATGCATGTAGGTAATTGGTGGATTTGTTAGTTAATTCGACGCTTTTGGACAATGCTGAACATTTACCAGTTTTTCAATAGTTTCTTGTTGAAAATCAACATTTGAAAGCATTGTTATCAATGCGTAGCCATATTTCTGTTCGATTGGTGATAAAATTATTGAAATTGGACCAGGGGTAGCTGAGTTATTAACGTTCAAAATATTTCTTAATTTGTTACATGTTCCATTTTCGGTTTTCACAAAGTGTACCCCCATATAGAAATCAAAGACGTAGTCCTACGTCAAAAAATATTTAAGCATAATTTTCCCTCTATCACAAATCTATCAACATTTGTTAAACACAGGTTGTTATGCAGACATGTAGATTTGAAAAAATACATCAAATCTCCTCGTACATTGTACGAGTTAGGTAAAGAAGTGTGCGTTTGACTAGTACTCTCGCATTAATGACCCTTCGCTCATTTTCAACTTCTATTTAATTTTCATACTGCCGTAATCTAGCGGAACTATCTTCCAACCCTTTTCAAACCATTCTCTAGCTAATAAATTATCCCACTAGGGCTCATGTTAGATAGCATTTCCAACCAACTCTGAGTAATCTAATGTTACACTTCTCTTTTGAGCTTACCATTTACCACTCTACTAAAAGCAAAAGGAAGAAGAACGGACAAACTATTGTGTTTATATACGACATATGGTGAAGAAGATAAAAGATTGGCAGAAGATTCTCACTAAGTGGAGGACAGGCTTAAAGTAGTCAGTGAAAAATAATTTTACTCAGAAAAACCGAATCGTAATTTTCAAACAAAGCCAAAACAAGGTTAAAATACGACCTTAACACGATTAGTATCCCCATGTAATATGATTAAATTCCCTCCTTCATCCCCTTAGTCACAGCATGAGATGTTTCTCTATTGATATCGCCAAACCGGATAGGGCCGGCCGATGATGGCAGTCTAAAACAATATTAGGATCAGGGCTTTGGGGAGTTTTCCGTAGACCCGGGTGGGCCAGGGTCGAGTTTATTATCGCTTTTACAAGTTGTTAATCATAATTTGGTACACTGCTGTAACGAGATTAACGGGGAGTGATTTTGCTGTCTACTGCTGCTCATAAGTTCCCAACCGGATAACAAGGTTAGCCATGGCTTAGATGAGTCGAATTATTGCCGATTTATCAAGGTTGCCACGGTGGGAGGGACATGTTAATGGATTTTTGGTTAATCCATCGTAACCTTTAAATGAAATTTAACCTCTATCGAACTTTCAAGCTGCAAGTTCAAAACACAATTAACCGAGCTGGAATGATGGCACGTATTCAAGCTAAGTTTGCATAATCTGAAACTGTAGTTAGCATGTTGAAGCTTCTTCTCAGGTCACAATCTCTACCGTGCTACTGATTCTTGAGAGTAGATATGTGCATGCGTGTGTAGGTGCATATTAAATGCATGAAGAAGATAAGACCTTTTAAAGCAATCCATGCACTGTTGTGATACAGTGGATTAAATTTAGAAATGCAAAGCAAAGGAAATATCGTTCCCAAGCGCTCGGACGATGTGTGTCAGAGTGTTGGAGTGATTTGATGTTAAGCCTCAGGCATGCAAGCATTGAACATTTTAACTTTATCTGAGACAGAGCTTTGTTCGTTTCCTTCGTTCCTCTGTAGACTGTTTATTCAGGACTCAAGTTAAGATTTAAGGGAAATGTTTTTATTGGATTCTACATCTTGTAGCGTGTGCTTTCCCTTGATACAATTTAATCCGATAGCCAAAACAAACACACTTCATATTACTGAAACAAGAACCCTTTTAACAGAAAATGGGCAACAAGGCGTTAAATTAATGTCTGATTGAGCAAAAATTCACCATCGCAGTCCCAATCAAAACATAACCGTATGTAGGTCACGTTCGGTCCTCGCTGTCTCGAAGCAACACCTAATCATCTCCCCAGTCACGGTTAACCTGTGCTGTGGGTAATTGGCTCTCCCCTTCCACCTCGTATCACATCTTTTTCGGCCAATCTGAGTCCCAAAATAATGAAAAAGAAAGAAAGAAGCAAAATACAAATACTCACATCCAGGTCGCTCATTTCGCTGTGCGTGTCGTGCTGGATGTCCTTTGGGTCCATACCGAAATCGCAGTCGCTCGCCCGCAGGTGATGATTGCGGTGGTAGTTGGCATGGAGCGTGTTGGAATTGTTGATGGCAACACTGTTCAGCAGGATGTTGGAGCTGGTGCGGCTGAGGGCCTTTCGCTGCCGGACGGCTTCCCTGTAGGGATGGAAGGAGTGTTGTGATAAGGATTAGAGTTCTTTCAAAATTGAAGCGTCAAAAGACAGACGGTTGATACGTGAGGATTATTAAATATGCTTTGGATATAAATAGTTGGAAGTAATCTTCCGTTAACGTTAATGCAATTCATTACTTCATTTCCAAGACAAATTTTGACAAATCTTGAAAATAACTATTTCAAACCCGCAACTATATCTATGCTTTGTATTTATGGAAATAAAAATCATATGGTAAAACCAAGCTACCCAAGTAACACAAAAAATATATTTTTGAATAAAATTTTAAAAACCCTGCTGTATAAACGTATTTCAAGTGATGCAGAAAACATCCTACGTTTTTAGAAGAGCTGCGAAAAAGTTTTCTGGAAGCTTCACAGATTTTAACATCCTCCAATTTTTGTTTTTTGGTTATAATCTTTGAAAGTTTTAAAACAGTGCATCTAACATTTTCAATACCTCTACAAACAATGTTGAAAGCAAAATCAAGCTTGAATTAATAAAGATCTTGAAGAGAGTCTGTACTTTCTAAATTGACATTGACAGCACCATCAATCACACAATGATTGACAGTTTCTTATAGAATTTTCGGTAGTTTATCATTAAGAAAGTTGAAAATTCTCGTTTATGACATATGCAAGTAGTTAAGTTTACATTATTTTGATCAGATACATAAAACCATACATTTATACAACTGATAAAGTTCAGGTTGTTTCAAAGGAGTTTTCAATACTTTAAAATTACACTCTGGTAATTAAGCTGATAGATCTGCTACTGTACAAATCGTCATAATGACGAACAGAAATAGTGTTGGTCGAGAATATGATGTTTACGCCATTCATTGACGAGAATATGATAGATACTAAGATACTAAGAGGTGATTTTTTAACCATTTCGTTTATTTGGAAAGCTCAATCGCGTTAGCTTTACGGAGCTGATAATTCATTGTTCACTCTTTGTAACAAAATTCACTTGATTCTATGCCTAGTAGAAGTTAGGCTGAATACTCGCTGCTTACTCGAGGTTAGAAGGGTACATTGTCGAAGAATAGGATCAGGGGAGGAGCTTAGGGGTGGATTTTCGTTGTCTCAAAGAAAGGTGATGTAATTAATCGGAGTTGGTAATTAAGTTTTACTTTTTCATGCGTTCTTCAGCATTTCAGAAGAATATCGTCACCTTATTACTCGTGGAAACTTTCCCGATTTTGCGATCAAGCAATTCCGATGTACCTGAAGCTCAAGCACTGTGGTTTCATCAACATGCTCGAGGCCACCATAGACATACTGGCAGATTACATTATCATCTTGAGTATCACATTCGTAAATCCACGCAGGCAATGAATATTGAATCTTCTGACACGGTGGATTCTGCTGAGAACGTTGAAGAATTGGTAATTTGTTGTATTTTGTTTATTGCTAGTAATTACGCAGAAATAAACGGACAAGATACGGTGAGTAATGTTCTGGTTCAGTTTTTCTTTTTCATTTGCATGGTACTGAGAGCACTCAAAATGTCAGCATAAAATGATCTTTCACATCAAAATTGCTTCAGTGTTCACTCGGCTGTCGAAAGAAGCAGACCACTCTGGATGTGTGTCACGCAATCGTCTATTTACTCGGCAGCAACCATTGTGTGGTCTTGCTCATTGTTCTTCATCAGCAGTTCTTTCAGTCGATGCGTCGCCGGCTTTGGAAAGCAACCGTTTCGTGATGGATGTGTGAGTGCTGACCACGTTTTGCGTCCATTCCTGCAATGGAAGCTCTCTGAACCTCGTTGGCGAATCTGCCATATAATGAAACCACTGGAAGCGGCTCCCGTTCTGGTGGAGGAGGCTTATTGGATAGCGGAAGATGAAGTGTTTATTGTGTTGTACCTTTTGACTATAGTTTTAAGATGTATTGTATAGTGACCAAGAATCCTCGGCTCTGTAAAGTTAATTCGATTTAGCCTTATCAAATAAATTAATACTTTTTTTTTATCAACCAGTTTTTTACTGAAATATAGAAATGAGTATGTCTAGCATGGAACGGTCAACAATTTTTCAGTTATGATTATGTGCAAACTGATTATGTTATTGCATAATTCTACATAGAGCTGGAATAAGGGCGTAACAGCTTTTGTAAACAATGACTTCTCTTGACAATTTCTAGGAATTCAAGGCACGCCCATGCAAACCAACATTACCGTTGGGTAGGGGAAGTCTTACCCTACCTGATGGTGATGTTGATTTGCGTTAGCGAGCCTTGACTTTCAAGACATCATCGAAAGAAGTCATTGTTTACAAACGCTGTTACTCCCTTATTCCAGATCTATCTTGAGATGATCAAACTTTATTTTTTTTTTCAAGTCCAATGACTACAAAATACAGTAAAATGATTTGATTAGGCTTCCGAAATTCCAAATGCGAACTGTGTTACACTTTTCGAGATAATGCCGACAAAATGCGCCAGCAAATTTCTTCCTGTGTATCCCGTAAATCGCTGCCAATTCTACAATACAGCATCCGTTATACGTCCAGACCTCTCACGGCGTTATCAATAGAATCGTTATCGATTATGAAAGAATAAATCGATCTCCCTCTCGCACATCTGCACCGAAGAACAATATCCGTAAGGGACAATAGCTCGGCATTGTGCTAAAAGAGCAGCTAGAGTGTGGTTGGCTTCACCAAGTAGTGCCACAAAATTGGGTGATTGCCAAAAAAGTGCATGTAGTGGTCCACCGAAATACCAAACCAGTAAAAGTGCTCGGCCAGGGACGGACACATCAACGGGAATGACTTTCCGGCAAGGTATGACGCATTCCAGATTGCAAACCCATTTAAATGCTAACATGCGCAATGCAGTTTCTTTGCATACAACTTAAGGCCATCAACTCTGGAGTTGGAAGAGTGTTCCGTTCGGGTCGTTTCAAATACCTTCTTACCCACAATCGAACGACAGGAGGTCAAGGCATCGTCATCAGTGCAGATAATCTGCAAGGTCCGATCAAGGGAGACGGAGGAGAGTAAAACGAAAATCGGAAAAGGCCATCATCAGGTAAAGTCTATCACCAACAACATCTGATGACGTGATGGATCGATTAACGCTGTGTCGCCTCGTTAGAGGGCCTTTTTATTGTAGCTTTAATCCCAACGGCTTGTTTGTACGCTGGCCATCGTGCCCGGACTCCTCCGGTAGGACCTAGCGAACCACGCAGAGCCACCTGCCTCCTTGCCGTCACTTGCCGAGCACTTCTCGCTAGCCAAAGTATCCGAGGAGCCGTCGTGACGCAACGGGGGCCGAGACAAGGAGTGTAGAAGAACCGATGAGAGCGATTAGCTACCACGTATTGTTGGTGATCGCGGTGCACCGTCAATAGTGCATTGCAGCAGTAGTCGATCGGGACAGAGCGGTTGTGCGACATCCGAGAAGTCGTGCGACAAGTTAGCCGGAGTCGACAGTGAAGTAGGGACACGACGTTGTCGTGCGACATCTGGCGGGGCGAAAGTGCTCGCCTACGCGACGTCACAGTGCAGTAGTGCGACACCCACAACGGTGTTGAGGGTCGCGCGACAGCCGGCAGGGAACGAGTGACTACGGTGGTCGTGATGCAGTTGCAGCAGCAGTACGGGGCCCCCAGCGACACATGGTGCAAAGAAGACTAGCGTATGTATGTAGAGTAGAATTAAGCACTAATGACATTTTTTTTTTTTTTTTTTTTAATTCTTTATTTAAGAGATTTTTAGCCTTAGGCTAGTTCATCTCTAGCACTAATGACATGCACATTATACCATTGAGTGGCAAGACCATCTTGCGCGATGACTTCGTATCTGATTGAGTTTCTTGCGAATGAAGTCATTTTCGTTTCATTCCCGGCCATCGGTAGCTAGCGCACCTTAATTGCTGTGAGCGGCTAGCCGGCCTGCAAAGAGTATTGAGCGGGAACCACTTCTCTCTATCGTGGTACCGTCACCGACATTAACACTGCTATTTTGACTTTAATTGCTACTATACTTAAAGGAAGTGTTCGACAATTCACCAACCAAATAGGAGATTGTTACAACTGTCGGGCTTAACGTTGCATAACTTCCATCAGATTTTGTACCGCTGTTGTATTGCTGAACGTCAATTTGCTTTGAACTGTTTCTCATTTCCAACTGTTTTCTGAATTTTCTTGAGGTTCCGCTTAACGATTACTCAATATTTTTTTTCAATTGGGTGCAGCTCCGGCGAGTTTGGAGGGTTTTTGTCCTTGGGTACGACGTGCATGTTGTTGGCGGTATACCGTTCCTGAGCCATTTTCCCGTAGTGAAAGGAAGTGAGGTTTGGGCAATACAACTATTCAATCGATTCTGTGAAAAAAAAAATTATCTCGTGCTCATCATTTGAAGAGCCTCTTTCTCATTCGAACCTCCACTGTCAATTGAGTCACTCACTTTCATTTGATATTCGGCAATGGAGTATGGAAGAAAGCCAGCAAAATGGTCCCGAACAGACATGTCAACCCAATGCCGGATCAATATACGGCAAATTTGAGGTAGATGTCGACCCAATGTCGGGTTGATGCTAGGTCAATTTTGGGTGTGTGTCGGGTCAATGTAGGGTCAACATCAGGTTGGGGTTTGATAGAAGTCAGGTTGGTGTCGGGTTGGCTTAGATCTTTCGCCGGAATGTCGACCAGAGCTAACCCCCCTTGTGAAGAAAATTACACATCGATCATAAAACAATCTCTTTAGGAAAAGCATCAAAATTTGCATTGTCCTACGTTTTTGAATACCATACAGTCACGGCAATATATATTATATAAGTGTCAAAATATTATGCATCCATCCTTAAATATGCAGTCTGTCATACCTTTTTTAAATAACTTTGATATATTTCCTTATTGTTACCTGTAGTTAAATTACTTTGCTATTGTTTACGGCAGCTGCCAACACTTCCCCCGAGCAGAGAAAGAAGAGATGTTTGTTCATTAAAAAGTTGTTATTAAATAAACACGTAA